GGGTCTACCTTACAATATGAAGCACTTTGAGGCGACTGTTGTTGTGATGTGGCGCTGTATAAATAGAATTGATTTGAACTGACATGAAATTCAAATATATTGTGTTTATTTATTACACTGAAACTGATTAATAAGCTATTAATAATGTAACTGTTATTGACATGATGCACAGCCTATTTGTGATTAAAATAACAAAGTTTAAATTTTAAATTTCCATCAAAGATGAAATAGTGTTTTGTTTTATTTTGTTTGTTATTTTAGCCTTCACATCAAGGTGTGTTTGCTTGATATTCATGTGACATTACCAGTTTTCTCTCAGTGTCTCTGTCAGGAGGGCCAGTATTTGCCTTTCTGGGCTCAGTCCCACCTCTCTGTGGTAAATTCCATTTCTGAAGGGAAACAAAAAATGATTGCAACTTCACCGGAAGTGTAGAGAGAGAGAGAGAGAGAGAGAGAGAGAGAGAGAGAGAGAGATAGCGTGACAATAAATACATCACAATTACATAGACAATTATTTACAATAGAAAGCTTGGTATTTACTTCACTCCTGCTGGCCGAATGAAGTCAAAGCACAGGTCACAGTTTGATCACGTGCCCTTAAAGCGTGAACAAGGCAGGAAGCTATTTGAGTTGAAGTTGACCTTCAAAATATAAGCTTCAGATTTTAACTCGTGCTACAAACTTGATAATAACAAATCTGAAGCTCACTTACGAGCAGTTTACATGTTCAGTTGATTTAGGTGAAATTCACAGACTTGAAAGGCAGCGGATGAATTTATTTTTCGTGTTATAAGACAGCGCGGTTTATAATTTCCCAGAAAAGAATGAAGTCAGTATTTTTACAGACCGGAGCTGAATAATAGTTTGATTCTTCTGTCACGACCATCAACCCTTCTACACGTCTTGTTAAACCAATTATTAATTTGCTCAAGAACTGATATTGGAAAAGTAAAGTTGGGATATGGGATAACCATAATATAATTTAGATATAAGACTTAAGTTGATTGTATTAGTTTTATTTTTCTTTCTTTGTGCGCGTGTGTTTATTTTTATTTAAAAAACAAACAAACATTGGGCCTTTATTTTGGTGGCTCTAAGCGGAAGAGTCGCTTTACTTACTTCTGCCGTTTTAAAACTACCTGAACTAGAACAGGTTGATAGTTTTCAAAACCAAGAAAGCTTAGGTTGCGTCTAAACAGCCACCTGAGGAATAGATCGAAATCAGAGACGGAAAGTGATGAAGTAGTTTATCAGCCTGCCTCGTCTCTGTGGTCACTTACCTTCCTGCCCTGCGCTGCTGTCAAACTGTGTGATTCAGCCATGTTAACCTGAAGCGAACAAAAAACAAAGAAATAAGCTGCAGATCCAGTTTGTCTGCCTCTCCTGTCAGCTGAATGAACGGTGACGCAAAGCTTAATCTCAGCACACACACACACACACACACACACACACACTTACACACACTTTTGATAATCAGCTGCCCTGCATGCCTTCCTGTTTCTACTCAATAACAAGCGCGCTCATTGTGAGGCTACAACTTAAGGCAAAATAAAATAAATCCGCTTCAAGCACAGCAAATTAAATACAATATGTCTTATTTACTTCAAAAGCTTCAAGTTTACAAGTCTCACATTTTTCACACTGCCAAGACTTCTCGAAAAAAGTCCCTGAAAGAACGCAGTCAATTTATTTACCTTCATGTCTGAGGATAAAGTGCAGAGTTCACGCAAAAGCTCAGCGGGAGAAGATATTTGTTCGATGGTGTGCTGTGTCAGCTGTCCACTGAATATTTATATTACCAGAAATGTTTCTTAAACCAGGTAATCAAACTTGGTCTGCATTTCTATATTTATTAATACAACGCAGAATATAGATATGCAGAGTAAAACAACTCAAGTGCACAGAAGAAATCACGATTAAAAAAAAAACAATAAAACTGATTTGACTTTGAGCTAGCTGTAAATCTATTCGTTCATCACTCAGTAATTCTCAAATTGAGAGCACCAGTCATTAAAAATAAAGACAAACAAATATTTTTTACTGTTTTTCAAGGGGAATATATTTTTGAAGCTCTACAAATACAAACAGAACCAGACTTATCTTAATTGTTACTGCCTTTAGATGCACAATAGTTTTTAATCGGATACAATCAGTGTTCCTATCCCATTTGAGATATCAGGATATAAAGAATAGACTCGATCCATAAATACTCACAGTGTCTGCAGCCGAGCTGTGGAGCTTATTTTTACCTGTCTGTGGGCCTGAAATCACATTTCTAATGTGGTTTAGAGAATACTGAAACACTTCTTGTTGTGACTTTTCTGAAGTCACAAACGAAGAATCAAAGAATGGGAGGAAGCAGAGGACATGGAGTCACAGGAATGGGCTGAGCTGCAGGAAACGGGAAATGCAAGCAGCCTTAGAACAAGAGGCTACAGTGCACTCGCTGCATACCGTTACTGTGTTCTACATGCTGTGCACCACATGAAAGCATCTGTTGGTAGCTCCAGTTTCTTCTGATTACACTAAACAGACACTGATCAGTGATTTGCTGTAATAACAGAAACAAAGCTGGCAGGGATATTCACATGTGAAGAAGCCCCACCCCTCCTAACCAGAATGAAAATGTGATACTGTGCATATGTTAAGGTGAGAATACCTGTATGAACTGAAGGAATGACAACCAGAACAGCACAAAGCAACAGCAGGAAAAGCTACAACCTAAATAAAATGGGGGTTTATGAGATTTTCAAACCAGTACGTGCTGTTTTGAGTGACATAATTTATCCAAACTGTTTTGGAAAATGACAAACTGGCTACAGTGACGTTTAAAACTACAGATAATAAATGCAACAACATTTCAGACATCTTCAAAGAAACAAAATGACTATAAAGAGATGAAAAATGCGTAGAAGTTATTAAAACGCAGAGAAAATCGGTACAAAGAGAAACAAAATAATACACAGTCTATAAGGTAATTTGGTAAAGTGAATGCTATCAAGTGGAGTTTCCTTCAGCACACATCAGTGTTTGTTGTTGCAGTATTCAAGAACCTCAGCATCCACCAGATCTCTAGAAATCCATCTCTGTTAGGGTTCAGTTAACACAGTAAATGGGCCTTTCTACTACAAGGCTCATTCCCCAGTCACACACACTTTCATACAGCGCTTTCATCTATGCATAAGCACTTTTCCACACACACACACTCAACCCTGATGGATGCATGAGGGGCAGAGAAGGTTATGTATCTTGCATACACATGGACTGTAGGAGCTGGCGATTGATTGGTTGTGGCTCTAGAATTTGAGAGTTAACATACATCCCATCATCCATCTTGTTCCACTTAATGAATTCAGGGTAGTCAGGGTATTCACAGGGAGAACATCCAAACTTCAGAGGGAGTTTTCTGTGAAGCAACAGTGCTAACCACCTCACCACCGTGGTTCCCTACGCCAGTACGTTTTTTTTATAGAATTTCCCTATTTAAAAAATTCCACCCATCCATCCATTTAGACAAGTTGGATGAGGCCTGTAATCAGAGTATTTGACAGAGTAATGCCCGAACTATGACTAATCTCACTAAGACAGGATGGGATGTACTGAACTGCCAGGTCATGCAAATATACAAAAACTGGACTCACTGATACTTTAACATTTTGATACAAAGGCAAATATATCAATTTGTAAAAACTGTGACATAAAGCAAGAATGGGATGTCATTTTAAACAAGCCTTTATTAAAAGTTTGAATATACATAAAAAAAAACATTTATAAAAATTACAAAAACAGGAATAAGCAGTGAAAAAGTTTATAGTTAATTTAATTTAAGTATTTTTTTAAACTGTCTTCAGGTAAAAAACATTAATATTTTTAAAAAACACTCAAAAACTGAGAGATAAATACAGTCGTGTAAAGCAAAGATATAAAAGGTCCTATAAATTTATATTTTTAAAAAAACAACAAGAGAGAAATGATTTATTTTAGCTGCATTGATCAATGTCTCTCAAATGAATTGCCCTTTCCAATGAAGTATTCAACGTGACACAAATCACGTAAAATAACGCTAGCACCTACCTGAGACTGAAATACTTACTCTGTCTTACAAAGAGTAAAACATTCAATTAGAAATCCTGCATGACTTACTTTAAAATGGCAGTGCAACAAATGGACAACTCAGTACTTTATATAGAGTTGTCGTTATGTCTCATATAAGATATAACATATAACTAAGAACAGGATAAGCTTCAAGTGCTTTTTCATAACAATATGTCATCAAATGTCAGATATACAGTTTTCCTACCACCTTCTAAACCAGTTTTCCTAGTAGGAATGAGAGCGATGCTCCCACAGCCAAACCCAGGACCAGGAAGAAGGTCATCAAAGAGCCAGCTGTCTCGCAATCCTTACACCGCACCAACCTGAAGGAGACCAAAGCACACAGTTACAACACTATCCAGTACAGTGAACGCAACACAGAGAAGTCGATTAATCTTTTTCATTTATTCTTCAACAAATACACATGAACGTTTTTCACAAACCATCAGTACAAGTGAAGTGCTTGGGTCTTCATGTTGCCTGTATTACTTTGGTTTACTTCCTGTTTTATTTTGAAGGTTTAAAATCTCGTGTGGCTTTCTGTTTCCCCCCTGTTGCCTTTCTCTTCCCTCTCGTGTTAATGCCTGATCAAGTTCAGTGTTAGTCTCCTTTTTTCCCTGTGTTTAGTCTGTTTTTGTTGTATTCATTGTCAAAAGTTTTTTGTCATTTGTGATGTGTTTTCTCTCAATTATTGTGCAGCAGTTTGTTATTTTTTAGTTATTAG